TAGTATTATGTCACCATACTAGGCCTACATGGATCCTAGTATTCCAATAATCAATGTGATAGCATGCTGCCTTCCCAAAACAATTATTTAGGTCTTGTACATACCTTAAAAACAAGGAAAAACAATTCAGACTCTTATGCAGAGCATTCAGGATGATGTTAAATTGAAGCAAAAACCGCAGTACTCATTTCTACATAGCCTACTATGGTAACATTTGAAGTGTTAAATTAACATTGGGTCATTCCCGATAGTCTAGAAAGTCTAAATTTTGATAGACAGACAGACCAAATTTAGACTTTCAAGTCCAAATTTGAAGCCCCCCCCCAGCCTTCAAGATTTCTAAATCTAGACCGGAATCCAAGAATCAAATTCCGTTGTAGGACTCAAGAACTGAAATGAAGGCCAAATTTATGACTGGAATAATTTTTTTACTACGTTACTAAATCTTTTCTTCTTAATGAAGAAAGCTCTGGCGCCATGGAAGAGGGAAAGCATCATAAAAGACAGAAAGAACAATGATGTCCCCTGCCTTAGTGACTGCTGCTCTCATATATCGTAGATCAAAACTAAGAGAGGCCCTCTTGCTGGAGGCCTTGTCTCAAGAGACAGAGGAGACAGCGAGGGGGAGCAACATCCCTCACACAATATTCATTCCACGAGCAAAGATGTCGACTCCTCCTATGACGTGTACTGGTCCTTATGCTACTATCCCTCCTTGCAATGGGGAACGCTTTCCTCCAGTGGCCGCACCAATCCCAGTCCCTCCCCCAGGAGGAGGTCAATCACCAACAAAGAAGAAGACTGGCTGTAAGGGTGGTACTACTGCAAACTACACGGAAGATGAGCTTAGCTATCTTGTTGATGACTCTCATCAAGGAGATCCTCCCCATTGGTAAGAGTGATTGGGACATGGTGGTTTATAGACATGGACAAGACTGGCCCTATGGTAGGAGCAAGGAATCCATTAAGCCCTGTGAAATGTACAAGTAGTTTCAATCGATCCGCAACGCTTTGCGTAGTACTACTAGGTTATTTAGGCCAGTTTACTRTATTTATCTTACACGGGTACTATTATTATACTAAATCTGTATCCAATCATCTTCAAAAATTTCCAGCAGAAGTGCGATCAAAATAGAAAACAGAAGTCGGAAGTGTTTTTCAATCTTTTATTGTAACACAACCTGGTTGTATAATTTCGGTTTCACAACTATAATGAAGTTTTTTGGTCGCGAGGAAAAAATCGAACAGTACCTACGGAAGAAATCAAGGGAACATTTTTCATAATTTTTTCGAGGGGATGCTCATTGTCTTACCCTACGCTATAATTTACAATACGGAACATCTTTTGAGAATGGTTTGCAAATAGTTCTAAATCATTTGACCCTATCGTCCATTGAACTGCCGGCAGTTCTTTCTGATAAACAACTTAGCTACCCGTTCAAAACTATCCATCAAACGCTGTTCCCTGTAC